GAGTATCAGTCTGAACTTCTTAGCAAGTGGTAGAGGAGGAGGTCTCTCAGGGAGGTGGGTGTGGATACATGCATGATAGAGGCAGGAGGTAGCAAACAAGCTGAGAACATGTCTTTGGAAGAGGGAGGCAGTGTGACTTGTCCTGCTGTTATTGTTGGAAGTTTGACTCAGCCTTACCTGGCAAACTTCCCTGCCGAGCTAATAAGCCTATGTGCAAGTGGAGTTCCAACTATAATGACACAGAGACTGGAGGAAGGAGCAGTCTCCCTCTGTGCTGCTGCACATTTTTGTTGAGTTTTTTAAACTAGGCATATGATTTAAAATGACTTTTAAAGAAGTTTTGCTGGAAAACAGATTAAGAGGTTGTGTCAACAGCTTATTTACTGGAATTTTGGCTATGGGATTAAAAACGAAGAGATAAGTAGAAAAATGTTATTGCAGAAGATCTGGCAAAAACTTGGAGATAGACTAAATATAAAGAATGCAGAAAGTAGAAAGGTGCATGATATTTTGAAGATTATCAATTTGAAGAACTAGGAAGTTAGAGGGTGATATTGGATAATAGGTAAAGTAGAAGGATTTAAAGATTGAGAAAGGGGGAATTTAATTAGGAATTTGGGGATCATTTCCTTTTTGACAGAACAAGATATCGTAATAGTTTACATAGTTTGACTATCATCTTTATAATTTTTGTGCCATATCTGCTATCATCTGTACTGTTACTTAGTATTTCTTTTGATCAACTCATTTTCAAAAATCACCGAGTTTTTTTCAAGATTTTATTTATTTATTTGAAAGGCAAAGTTACAGAGAGGCAGAGTGGGGGTGGAGGGGTTTTACATCCGCTGGATGCACTCCCCAAATGGCTGCAACGGCCGGAGCTAGGTCAGTCTGAAGCCAGGAGCTAGAAGCTTCTTCTGGGTCTCACAAGTGGATATAGGGGCCCAAGAACTTGGGCCATAGTCTACTGCTTTCCCAGGCCACAGCAGAGAGCTGGATCAGAAGAGGAGCCACTGGGACTAAAAGTGGTGCCCATATGGGATGCTAGTGTATGATGCTGCAGGCTTAGCCCACTATTCCACAGCACCAGCCTCCCCTCTCTCCCAGTATTTTTTAAGTAGCAGTATCTACGGAATCTTGAACTCATGGACAATTTATGTGTTTTCCTAAAATTCATAGATGTAAATATAGGGAGATTAAAGATAGTTGTGTCTGATCTTTGGAAAATAGTATCTTATCAGTTTGGAGAGAAGCTTGAGATGGTTGTTTATTTTTGAATGACAGTTCAGATACCTTTGCTGAGAACTATATACTGGAGCAGCTAAATACCACAGGAATGGAAGGAAGGAGCCTAGTTTGTTTGGATTTCCAAGGTGATAAGAAGGAGGTTATGGGGCTGGCGCTGTGGTGCAGTGGGTTAACGCCCTGGCCTGAAGGGCCAGCATCCCATATGGGCGCTGGTTCAAGACCTGGCTGCCTCACTTCTGATCCGGCTCTCTGCTATGGCCTGGGAAAGCAGTAGCAGATGGCCCAAGTTGTTGGGCCCCTGCACCCACGTGGGAGACCCGGAAGAAGCTCCTGGCTCCTGGCTTCGGATGGGCACAGCTCCAGCCATTGTGGCCAATTGGGGAGTGCACCATCAGATGGAAGACCTCTCTCTGCCTCTCTGTGTAACTCTGACTTTCAAATAAATAAACCTTTTTTTTTTTTTTTTAAAGAAGGATGTTACTAGAATTTAAATAGTTCAAGGATCTGCAAGGATAAGAGTGCATGTGTGTTGGAGGGAATGAGGGAGGGTCAGACAGGGAACAGCTTTAGTGAGATACATTTGTGTGAATAATTTTATCTGTCTTTAAAATTGTATTTATTTAATTGAAAGTCAGAGTTATAGAGAGGGAGAGAGATATCTTCCATCCACTGTTTTACTCCCTAGATTGCTGAAATGGCCTGTGCTGGGCCAGGCCAAAGCCAGAAGCCAGGAGCTTCATCCAGTTGTCTCACATGGGTGGTAGGGGCCCAGATACTTGGGCTATCTTCCACTACTTTTTCCCAGGAAATTAGCAGGGAACTAGATCAGAAATGGAGCATCTGGGACATGAATTGGTACCCATATGGGATGCTGGTATCACAGGCAGCAACTTTATAAACTGCTATGCCACACTGCTGACCTCATGCAAATTGTTTTAAACAAGTGACAAGAAAACAGAAACCAATCATAGTAGATTGAAGAAAAGGGACAAAGAAGATACTTAATAGTAGAATTTGACTAGTTATCTCTGAAGATGAGCTTAGAAAGTTAGTTTGCAAGGACAGTAATATTTGACTTGCAGCATTGTTGTAAGGATTAAATAAAATCATTCATATGATGTTTAGCACAGTTCTTGGCACAGAGTGATCAATAAGAACTAGATGATGAAGATGAGATAATGATAAGGTTATACCCCTAAGAAATAGACATTAGTATAGGTTCTAGGTCCAAGGAGAAAGAGCCAGAAAAATTGTTGCCAAGGAGAGGGTATTGGGTTGAGGCAGAGACTCTCATCTTTGTTAGTTATGGAGTTCAGTGCTTCTGTAGACAAAGGCATCATCCCATTTGAAAATGTCAGAGAAGATGATGAGAGTTGGGATAAGGAATATGCTGAGATCAAGCACATTCAGGATGGTATGGAAGTAGACAAGAATGTGTTGAAATTGTAGCAGGAGGGGCAGCATTTGGCACAGCTGATTTAGCCACTGCCTACAACACAGTCATCTTGTATGAGCACCAGTTTAAGTCCCAGCTGCCCCACTTCTGATCCAGCTCCCTGCTAATGTACCTGGGGAAACAAAAGAAGATGGCCCAAGTGCTGGAGCCCCTGCTACCCATTTGGAAGACACAGATAAAAACTTCTGGTATCTGACTCCTAGCTGTGTCCAAGCTCAGCCCTGGCCATTGGGGCCATTTGGTGAATGAACTAGTGGATGAAAGAGCTCTCTCTTTCTCTCCCTCTTTCTCTGTAATTCTTTCAATTAAATAAATAAAATCATTTAAGAAACAGTAGTAGGAGCAGCTTGGGGAGATGCTACCTAAAACTAACCCCTCTGAGGCATCTTGGAGGAAGATCAGAGAAGCATTAAAAGAGGAAGGAATGGTATTTGTGCACTTTGAAGATCCTGACTATCTTTAGGGAATAGTGCTCTGGCAGTGTCTTAAAATTCTATACTTGACTCAGATTTGCTCTTGAGATCAACCTTCTGTGGTATCTGAGACACTGGGAAACAAGGATTGTAAGTACAAGCATAGGGCTAGTTTACACCTCACACACACACAAACTTTTTTTTTAAGATTTATTTTATTTATTTACAAGACAGAGTTACAGGGAAACGTAGAGCCAGTGAGAAAGGTCTCCCATCTGCTGGTTTACTCCCTGAATGACCGCAATGGCCACAGCTGAGCTGATCTGAAGCCAAGAGCTTCTTCCAGGTCTCCTATGTGGGTGTAGGAGCCCAAGCACTTAGGCCATCTTCTACGCTCTCCTAGGCCATAGCAGAGAGCTGGATCAGAAGTGGAGTAGCCGGGACTTGAACTGGTACCCATATGGGTTGCTGGCACTGCAGGCTGGGGCTTCAACCCACTGCACCATAATGCTGGCCTCCTACCCATGAACTTTTAAGAACAGGTAAATATTTTTGCTTAAATATGAAGAGTTCATATATTTACTATTCAAAAATGCTTAACAATAATTGTGTTGCATTTAGGAGTGTTCTGACTTCGTTTCCATCTACATATATTTATTGGGGTTGGAAATCTGGGCTGTATATTCCAGAATGTACCAGACTCCTGAAAAATGACTTCATTCTCCAAAGCTGAGAATTCTTGTGTGTTGTGAGACAGAAGTAACCTGATTCTGGACTCTCTGTAGTCCCAGGGAGAGTTCCCAGTGGTTGAGTTGGGTTTCCCAAAGCTTCCTGAGAGTTAGACCCTGGAGATGAGTTCTTTCAAGGTCAGTCAGTACATTTTCATTCCAAAGATTTTCTTGTTCTTGAAAAGGACCAGGCAAAGGGAGGAGCCTCTGGTTTGGAGCAACTCTTCCTTTGGCCCAGGCCTCTGACACCCCATCAGTTTGATTCCTGCTCTGCAACCGCAAAGACAAGTATGATGGATCTCCTTTTGGAACACAGTGCAGTTTGCTTGGGAAAACATCCACTTTAGACAAACAATAAAAGCAGCCCAAGTGGGCCTTGGCTGCTCTCCTGGTGTTACGCTCATGCATATGCCTCTGGTGCTTGGCAGCAGCAGGTTTCTGGTTGCGCAGAGCCGCAGACCACCCTTTGGGAATACCCATGTCCTGGCCTTGTTGTTCAGAATGTAACTTGGAATTGAAGTTATTAGCCCTAAACAAGATACAGGTTTGACTCTAAATCCCAATTTCTATGTGCTGTGGAAAATGATTAAAAAAATAATTCTGATCTCCAGGAGGGAGAAGATAGAACAGTTGCTGTGACTATGTGAACACAGTTGTGTTGTATTGAATGATTTGTCACCTCAGACACCAAGTCTTTGTAGATCCAAGTTGAAAGTCATTTGTACTTCCTTCTCTGACTATTGCTACATGTTGGTTTTTCTTATAGTGTATTGATCAGAGTCTATCTAGTGTTTTAGTTACTCAAATGTGTGTCTTACTTTCCCCTCTTGCCTGTAATTTTCATACTGGCATGGACTGTTAATCAACTTTGCTTTTCCCACAAATTATATATACAAGAAGACTTCAGAAAGTTTCCCACAAGTTCTTTGAAGCCTGCTTGTATTTGTATGTGTGTGCTTGTGTGTTTGTATTTATAATCAGTCTATCTCCATGCAACCTTTGACTTTGGGCAACTTATATTCAACTGTTTACTGAACACCTAATACATATTGGTTGCTGAAAATATGCTAATGCTACTATCATTGTTTTATATGCTCTGTACTTGTTTAAATGCATCACAAGTTAATAAATATTATTTTTATCCTTTTTCTGCAGATGGAGGAAAAGATGCATAGGGAACATAAAGGAATTCCCAAAGACCACACAGCTTGTTAAGTGGCTGGATCCAGGTTAAAACCAGTAGGACCAGAGGTGCGTGCTTGACCGCCAGGCCATACTGAATCTGAGTATTACCTCTTAAAATAGGATTGGGTAAAAGCACTCTAAGAACACAGACTTACTGGGTGTAGTAATGGAAGTGTATACAAAGGGCATCAGCACAGAGAAATGGCTGCCCTCTGGTTCCAGCACTCCTTAGGAGAGCATGGAAGTGTAGCAGTTGTCTCCTTCTTTTGCTAGGACTTGTCTCAATATCAGCAAGAGCTCTCCTAGTGCAGAGGGATGAGTGGATTTGAGAGATCATCTTCTGGTTCACCTCCTTTATTGTAAAAGAAGAAACTGAAGTAAAGAACGTTTAGTACACAGAACCAGTTAATTAAGCATCCAAGACTGTACAATAAAAGGCTTTCAGACTTCTGTCATGAACCTGAATTTTCCTGAAGTTTCATTTGGAAGAATAAGCAGCCAGCAAGAGAAAAAAGAACCAAGTACAGGAGATGTAAGAGATCATGCTCCTAAAAGATCATTATGGGATACAAAAAAATCATGGGACAGACACATTGAGAATGTGGCACATGTCATGCTGGCATCTCTTACTTTGAAAACAGGACAAAAAATAAGACTTTCCTCTTCCTGCCCATCCTCCCCTGCAGCCCTGCCTCAGCCTTCCCCACCCAGTTTCTACAGATGCTTTCCCTAAGAGAACTGTGAAACTGTTGGAATTGGTGGTCTGTGTTCTGGACCCCAGATATGGTTTAACAGATCGCTAGTTCTCCATGAGAATAAGATTCCAACTGCTTGTAGTAATGTTATAAGTTTACCTCAGATTTTCACCTTCTGTTTCATCTAAAATGGGTGTTACTAGACAGGTCGAATACTGGGAAAGCCAGTTAATTCTTTAGAGACTTCAGTTCTAACCATCCAGGTAAGCGTCATTGACCTCGCTGCTTTATGTTGATTTCAAGCTGTACCTGTTTTTTTTTTTTTTTTTTTTCTGTTACTCTCTTCAGCTGGATTCTCCCCTTCACATGCAGGCAGTTGATGCTTTGATCCTTTAACCATCTAGAAGGGATTCCAGCTTTTCTATTAAGTGTATTTGAGCCAGAGTTTTCAAAGTGATTTCTGTGCACAGAAATGACAATTCTTTGAGGAGCTCCCTGAAAGTTGGGCTTCGTAGTCAAAGGAGCTTAAATAATACCACACATTCTTTCATCTGATCTATAGAATTTGAAATTTTTTAGTCTTCGAATCTTGTTTCCTTATTTCCATGGAAGAACCTCACTGAAGTAGCAGAGTGCTTGGAGAAAACCAGCCAAAGAAACAGTATAAGACTTCTAGAAAATAGTGTTGAAATTAGTCTAGGAAGTGATAGCTATGACATTTTGCAGCTGCAGGAGGCTGGTAGTAAGAACAGTATCCTCAGGAAAGTGATTGTATAACCTGGTCTTCAAATGCTAAGGACGCCACTTGTGACACTGGCATCCCTCATGGGTGACCTGTGTACCCACATGGGAGGCCTGAAAGAAGCTTCTGGCTCCTGGCTTCAGCCTGGCCTAACATGGTCATTGTGGCCATTTGGAGAGTGAACCAGAAGATGGAAGATCTCCCTCTCTCTCTGTGATGCTGCCTTTCAAACAATAAATAAATCTTAAGAAAAAAATGCTAAGGAACAATTTATGCAGTGGCTTTCATCATCATTAACATTGGGTTAGTCAGGATTCTTCCTTTTTTTTTTTTATTTTTTTGACAGGCAGAGTGGACAGTGAGAGAGAGAGACAGAGAGAAAGGTCTTCCTTTTGCCGTTGGTTCACCCTCCAATGGCTGCCGTGGCTGGCGCGCTGCGGCCGGCTCACCGCGCTGATCCGATGGCAGGAGCCAGGAGCCAGGTGCTTTTCCTGGTCTCCCATGGGGTGCAGGGCCCAAGCACCTGGGCCATCCTCCACTGCACTCCCTGGCCACAGCAGAGGGCTGGCCTGGAAGAGGGGCAACCGGGACAGAATCCGGCGCCCCAACCGGGACTAGAACCCGGTGTGCCGGCGCCGCTAGGCGGAGGATTAGCCTAGTGAGCCGCGGCACCGGCCCGATTCTTCCTTTTTTTTTAAAAAATTATGGAGTAATTTTCTATCTACCAATAAAAGATACACAATTTAATTTGAAAAATATATGATAGAAATGTGAATTGAGAGAAACTTTATGGGAAGATTTTCTCAAATATGTCTGCGATATATCCAGTAATTTATGAAAAATGGAATTAACACATAAAAAATATAAAAAAGGAATTTAGGGGGCTGGTGTTATATTGTAGCAAGTTAAGCCACTGTCTGCAGCACCAGTATCCCTTATGGATGTCAGTTCAAGTCCTAGCTGCCCCACTTCTGCTTCAGCTCCCTGCTATTGTGCCTGGGAAAGCAGTGGAATATGTCCCAAGTGCTTGGTCCTGTGCCACCCATTTGAGGGACCTGGAAGAAGTTCCTGGTTCTGGCTTCCACCTGTCTCAGCCTGACCATTGAGGCCATTTGGGAAGTGAACCAGTGGATGGAAGATCTCTCTTTCTCTCTATCCTTCCTTCTCTCTTTGTAACTCTGCTTTTCAAATAAAATACATATATTTTCTAAAAAAATGGAACTTAGAATATGGATTTATTTTGGTATAAAGCAATTTTGAAATCCATGTGTTTTTATTTTCCATAATATTCATTGAACCATCACTTGTTTACTGCCAGGTTGAATATCAGCCAGAAGCTGGTATGGAAAGTGGAGCCAGGCCTTGAACTCAGGCCCTCTGGGATGCATGTGTCTCAAGTGGTGTCTTAACTGCTGCCATTGAAATTCATTTTTTCTTAATTCCATTTCCCACAACTGAAATCCCCTCATATATGTAAGAAGAAAAGGTAGATCAGAGGAATAAACAGATTGTGGAAGGTGTCCATTCAGTGTTCAGCTGAAAACAAACAATTTAAAAACATGCTCCAAAGTGGTTGCCTAGTTTAAGGTGCCTCAGGTTCTTTCTCTGTGCCTAGAAATTAATTTTGCATAGAACCTAAGGATTTAATACAAATTTAAAAATCCTGAAAAAATTTGAAACATTAGTTTTCAATATAATATTAAAGGGCAAAATGGTCAGATGTGATCATGGGTATTGTAGTTTTAGAAAATAGTGAATATAGGTGGGCCCATACCAGGTGAGGACTTGGCACCATTCCCCCATTGTGTCTTTTTTTAAATCACATCTTCTATCTTGGATTCAAGAGGTCTTCTATTTTGTCTTTTCTAGGCAAGATGTAATAACCCTGGACCCACAGAGCACCTGGAAGTCACTCTAGCTGTGGAACTTGGGTAGGTGCTACAGTCTGCTGACTTTTGGAGTCCATATCCTCTTCACTTCACTTCACTTCTTTATGAAGTTTGCCCTCGGTTTATCTCCTGGAAATGTGGCCTTTTCCTTGTTTTGGTTCCTCGATCCATTGGAGGTAAGTGCAAGGGCTCTGTATTCAGCCATCTTGATTCTTCATTCCTTGATTCTGCTCCAGGACTGTAACTTTACATACCTTAATTCTCTTGATGAAAAAGGAGCAAGCTTGTGCCCTGGCTTGTGGTTAGGAAATGCCATGGACTTTTCTTTCCTTTTCTTCTCCAGTTGACGTGCTTTGCTTCCTCAGTCAGAAAGGACCACGCAATGGAAGGCGTCTTCAGAAGACTGGGGCAGTATGAAGTCTTGAATAACCCAAAAGCAGGAACTCAGAATGGTCAGATCTGGAACAATGACTGGATTTGTAGTAGCACAGCCACAGCCCTTAGTGTCCTCAGGGACAGTCTGCAGGGAATTGCTCTTTGGGTGGTCCTCCTTGATTAGATTGATGCAACTCTGAAGAAAGCAGCATTATTTTTCTTTTATTTCTGAAGAAACAGGAATTCAACCCAATGTGGGTGCCCTTGCAGTGAGAGGCAACGCATTTCTAGCCTGCAGGCAAATTTTGCTGCCCCCCGCACTGTTACCGGCATAGCTTCCCCAAGTAACTACGCAACTCGCACAAGTAACATCGCAACTCCTGCAAGTCATGTTGTAAGCTGATTCTTTCACTTTGAAAATGCAGAAACTCAAAATTTATTAAAAAGGTATAATTAAGAAGTGTGAGACATCATGGGTGAGATTTTTTTTCTCCCAGTACCTGACATTAGTTTGTTTTGTACACTGTGTTTATTTTGAAGCTTTTTCCCTCTTATGTTAGGAAAGATATCTGCCAAATGTATTAACTAAATGCATATATTTATAAAATATCACATGGGACCAGAAACCTTGTAAAAAATTTGAGATTCAAGTGAAGGAGTGATAAATGTGAATTTCTAGCCATGAATAAATGTACAAAGAAGGATAAAGTTTGAAAATTCATAAGCTAGGTAGCTACCTCAGAACTAGGAAAAGAATAATAAGAATAAAAAGGAAAAATAACAGGAATTGATAAAATGGGAATCAAATATAAGTTGATTCCTTAAAAAGATTAATAAAATTATATAAGTTTTTCCCATTCATATATACATTACATTTCTTGTACTGCGTATATTAGCTACCACAAGTCAAAGAAACATGATATTTGTCTTTTTGGGTCTAGTTTATCTCACTGAGAATGGTGATCTCCAGGTGCATCTATCTTATTGCAAAAGAGAGAATTTCATATTTTTAATGGCTGAATAGTATTCTATAATATCCATGTACCACATTTTCTTTATCCAGTCATCAGTTGATGGACATCTGGGTTGATTGCCTATCTTAGCTATTGTGAATGAAGCTGCTGTAAGCGTGGGGGTAAAGACAACTTTTTCATATGCCAATTTCATTTCCTTTGAGTAAATTCCCAGGAGTGGGATGGCTAGGTCATATGGTAGATCAATTTTCAGGTCTTTGAAGAATCTCCATACTGTCTTCCATAATGGTTGTACTAGCTTCCATTTCTACCAACAGTGTATTAGGGTACCTTTCTGTCTACATCCTCACCAATTTTGTTATTTTTTGATTTTTTGGGTGATAGCCATTCTAACTGGGATGAGATGAAACCTTATTGTGGTTTTTATTTGCATTTCCCTGGTTGCTAGTGATACTGAATACTTTTTCATGTGTCTCTTGGCCATTTGTATTTAACCCTTTGGAAAATGCCTGTTCACTTCCTTTGCCCATTTCTTTTTTTTTTATTTTAAAAAATTTTAATTTTAGTTAATTTTAACAGATTCAATATAATTTATAAATACAAGTCTAAGATTCCTTGCCCATTTATTAACTGGATTGTTTTGTAATTGCTGAGTTTCTTGAGCTCCTTATATATTTTAGATATTAATTCAGTATCAGATGACTTGTTTGCAAATATTTTCTCCCATTCTGTTGTTTACCTCTTCACTCTGTGCTGTGTTTCCTTTGCTGTGCAGAAGCTTCTTAGTTGGTTTAACCCAGTTTGTCTATTTCTGCTTTTATTGCCTGTGCTTCTGGGATCTTATTAAAGAAATCTTTGTCTGTGCCAGTATCTTGAAGTGTTTCCCCTATGCTTTCCTCTATTAATTTAAGGTATTAGGTTTAGATCCTTCATCCATTGTGAGTTCATTTTTGTGTAGGGTATAAAGTAGCATCTTGTTTCATATTTCTGCATGTGGAGAGATCCAGTTTTTTTCAGCACCATTTGTTGAAGACACTGTCCTTTTTCCATGGAGTTATTCTTTTAGCTCATTTGTCAAAGATTAGTTGGTTGTGATGAATGGATTAATTTCTGGACTTTCTAATCTGTCCCATTGGTCTACATGTCTAGTTTTGTGCTAGTACTAGGCTGTTTTAATTATAACTGCTCTGTAATATATCTTGAAATCTGATATTGGGATGCCTCTGGCTTTGTTTTTATTGTTTAAGATTGCTTTAACTATTTGGGGTTTCTTTGTTTCCATTTGAATATTAGGGTGGTTACAAGAAGGATGTCCTTTGTGTTTTGATTGGGATTGCATTGAATTTGTAAATTGTTTGTGGTAGTATGGACATTTTGGTGCTATTAATTCTTCCTACCCATGAGCATGGAGAGGTTTTCCATTTTTTTGTGTCTTTTATTTCTTTCTGTAATGTTTTGTTATTTTCATTGTAGAGGTCTTTCATGTCTTTGGTTAAATTTATTCCAGGGTATTTAAATTTTTTGTTGCTATTGTGAATGGATCTGATCTTAAAAGTTCTGTCTCAGCCATGGCATTGTAATTATGTACCTCAAAATTTCAATAGGGCCAACTGGGGGCACAATAGGTAATGCCACTGCCTGTGATGATGGCATCACATATGTGTACTGTTTATATCCTGCTGCTCCACTTCTTTCTGATCCAGCTCTCTACGAATGTGCTTGAGAATGAAGTGGAAAATGGCCCAAGAACTTGGGACACTGCCACAAACTTGGGAGATCTGGATGAAGATCCTGGCTTTAACCTGGCCCAGCCCTGGCCTAGTCCTGGCCCAGCCCTGGCCTAGCCCTGGCCCAGCCCTGGCCTAGCCCTGGCCTTTTGGGGAGTGAACCAGCAGATGGTAGATATCTCTGTCTCTTCCTCTCTCTCTGTACCTCTGCCTTTCAGGTAAATAAATAGAACTTAAAAAAACTTAGCATCCACTTACTGTGTATGGGAGAAATGTTGAAATACTTATTATGGAGCAAGCATAAATAGCAACCAACATTGTAGTTATAAATGTTTTCTTGTCTTAAGGAAGTCTTGTCTGTTTACCCAGATTTGTGCTTCTGGTAAGTAAGGATAGGTCTAATTATAGTGTTTTACTGGTATTAATATAGAGTATGATGCTATGGAAATAACAGAGGCTTGATAAATGATTTTTGATTGGCTTGTTGGTTGACTAAATAAATGTAAGTTAGCTTTAACAATGAAAATTGCATTTGTCTTATTCATGGAAACTGCTTTGCCAGAGAGCATAATTTTGGCTATAATTTACGGTATTTCTAACAACAAAACTCTTGGGAGAAAGTCTGAAATGCATCTGCATTGTGACTGACTCATATGACAGTGTCTAACGTAAGGAAAATACCTGTTTTCTGAGTTTGGAATGCCTACCAGAATAAGCAGGAGACAACAGAGGGAAATACTCAATTTATCCTCATCTCATTCTCCACTACAGAAATCCATGTCTCTCACTTGATGTGATGTCTAGACATAATCACATGTGACCAAGCAGAGTTCGATGAACAGAATGTGGGTTGATGTGATTAAATTCCTCAATAGATAAGAAGTTTTTTTCCCACCTCGTCCAATGTTGATTAAAAGACATACTATGGTGAGGAGAATTAAAATGAAGCATACTGCTATCCTGACACTAGGCCAGCTACCTGATAGTCAGATCAGCACCCAGGGATTAATGCCGTCTGTCCAGTACATTCCTTGTTTTGAAGCTGGGCATCAGGGAGCAAAATTTATCATGTCTATGAAGAAACCCCAGGGACAGATGTGGTACAGACAAGTCTTAAAGCATTTGGTGAGAGTATCCCAGATATTCTTAAAGTGATGTGTCAAACATTAAATTAAGTGAAGCAGAGGGTTTGTGATTTTTCTCTTTCCTAAGTGGAATGTCAAAGATAGGTTACGGGAGTTAAGGCTACCAGTTTGAATGTTTGAGTAAAGCTCTGTCTTTAAGTATTTGTCAAGGGAAGAAAAAGTTGTTTGAGGCTTGGCAGCAACTTCACATACAAGTTAGCAGAGAATAAACTATTTCCTTTTTGAAAGTCAGAGTTACACAGAGAGAAAAGGAGAGCCAGGGAGAGAGAGGTCTTCCATGCTCTGGTTCACTCCCCAAATGGGTGCTATAGCTGGAGCTGTGCTGATCCGAAGGCAGGAGCCAGGAACTTCTTCCAGGTCTCCCACATGAGTGCAGGGACTGAAGTGCTATCTTCCACTGCTTTCCCAGGCTATAGCAGAGAGCTGGATCAGAAGTGGAGGAGCCAGGACTCGAACCCGTGTCCATATGGGATGCCGGCACTGCAGGTGGTGGCTTTACCCTCTATGCCACAGCACTGGCCCTAGAATAAACTGTTTCCAAGTTGCACAACTGAGAAGCTGAAAGGACCTATGAAAGACCTTTCTAGCTGTTATCAAAAATAGGAATTGAAACCATTGAAGAATTATGCCTACATCTTGACTCAGAGCATACTTGAATTTAGCATTTCACTTATCATGGCCTTCTTGAACATAATACCACATCAATGATTCTCTACTCCCCAAATATGGTACCTGATGCCACCTATTGCTTTTGCAAGCAGAATTGAAAGCAGAATGGGTTCCAGATTGCAAGTGTATACTAAGGCAGGTGAGTTGGTTGGAGAAACTTTCTTCCAGAGGTGTTTGTGTCTGTGGAGAAGGGAGTTGATGAGGGTACCAGTGGCCAACTCAGACAGACTTGGGCTGGAATACACTTCCTGACTGGCCCACCTCGTCTGAAATGCTCCGGTTTCTCCTCAGCCATACCCGGTCAAGAATAACTGTAGTCCTCAGTGAACCCTTCCTAATCTACTGACTCTAGGGCAGAGGAAAGGGATCAGTGATGGGGAGTGAATGTGTTCACTGTGGCTTGTCCTTTTCCCTTCACCTTGACAAATCCATAGAAAACAGCTCTACAGTCCAGCATGAACAGTTTTCCCCAACGTGTGGCCCTCCAACTACCCATAGTAGCATCATTTGACAACCTTTAAAATGCATGTTCCTAAACCCTGTGCCAAACCTTCAAAATTAGAATATCTGGGAGCAGGCCTGGGAACATGCATTTTACTGATTCCCCCAAGGAGTTTTGAAATTTCCTGAACTTTTGACTTAGGAGTTTGGGTTCCCTGTTATTCTTGAAGTTGCAGGTGTTAAGGCCAGTGCTTCTTGAAGATGAGGCTGAGGGGAGGAGGAAGTTGGTAGAAGAAGGGATAGAGACTGGACTGATCAGAATGATGCTCTTCTGGTCATCAAATGTGGGACTTAGCGAGAAGCTGGAGGGCAGAGATTACAGGCTGGTAATATTTAAAATATAGTTTTATAAAATATATAAACTAGATTCTATTTGGATTATGCAGCATTTACCAGTATTAAAAATCAAAATACCTTTATATTAGTCATGTGCTATTCAGTCCTCCACAGCCTGTCACTGCCTGCTCATTTCATTTCATTTCCTTGCCTCTAAAGGCACCTGATCATCAACTCCAATTCAACATCAAATGATCTATTGCCTTTTTATTTTTTAAAAAAATTACAACTTAGTATTCAATCTCCAAATGCCCACACCAATCAGCACTGGGCCAGGCCGAAACCAGGCACCTGGAATTCAGTCTGTGTTTCCAAGGTGGGTGGCAGGGTCACAAGCGCCTGAACAATCATCTGCCACCTCCCAGGGTAGACATTAGCTGGAGCTGGATCAGAAGCAGAGTAGTCATGGCTTGAACCAGGCACTCTGAAATGGTATGCAGGAGTCCTACATTGTGACTTAACCACTGGCTAACCACCCGCCTTTCTTTCCTTGTTTTTAAATTATAGAATATGAACAAACATGTTCATAAAAGGACAAACAGGCTTTTTTCCTTTGATTTGTCTTTAAACCAAAATTACCTTTATTTTCCTAACTGGCTGGAAAACACCAATGACAGAGTACCTAGCAAAGTGCTTTAATGCATTGCATGCCTCAATAAATAATTTTTGTGTGAACAAAAAGTAATGTGATGCAGCTGATGATTTGTTTGAGGGCTATTTTCTCTTACTCCTTCTATCATCTCAGTCCTTCCACCACAAAATGCAAGGGAGAATTTCAAAATCTAGGGTCTACGTTCACCTGTCTTGAGTGGGACAGGTACAGGCCTGATTTTTTCTCCACCTTTGTTGAAAATTGTAGATGAATTAAAGGAACAGTTTTCAGGTCTAAGAGCCTTGATGTATACTGTTTATTCCTGAATGTTTCCATGTAAACATTTTAATTGATGGCAAATCTGTTTGTTGTGTTTGTCAAGTTAATGTAAACTGTAGTCTGTTAGGCCTTGAGATGAGTCTACTAAATTTTTCAGATGTTTTTTATTTCCTCAGCTAAGAGCTGGATTTGAACCAGAGCTTAGGGGTGAAAGGGCAATATGTAATATACAGACATGGAGTTCAACATATGAAATAAAATAATGTAATGTTTTTAATATTCAGGATGAAAAAAGCAGCAATAAAACATTGTGGAAGGAGGAAAACGTGAATACCTGTATATTTGAATTTTAAATGCCTGCAGATGTTGAATTTTAATCAGAGCATGTCAGATTCTGACTCTGACAAAGGCAGAAATGTGAGATGTGTTTTTGTGAATTGCTTCCACATTCCATGCTTCAGATTCTATTGCATATAGCACTGTCTCGTCATATATCTATGTAAAGTGCCAGCATCCATTGACTTAGCGTGTGCGTGATGGCTAACACATAAAGCAGTGTGCTGTGAAGAAAAGACCTCTTCTCTCTCTGTCTCTCTTTCTTCATAGCCTAGATTCTCTGTGACCTCGTGATAAGGAAGGCATTTAACCTCTCTCTGTTTCAGTTTCTCTAATCATAAAATAGGAACCAGTATTCTTGTTTCTTCTGTAGCTCTATGAGTGTTGTGAGGCCTATTTGAAATAGTAACTGATCTGTACACTTAGACTATATAACAAAATCAGGTATACATTCATTTGTGTGTCTGTATTTATTTAGAGAGATTGAAAGAGCAAAAGGAAACTAGTGAAAACTAAACAGATATTTCTTCATAAAATCTAAATATGTATTGGAATCTAAATTTAAGGTACTTTTAGATTCTGTATGTATTTGTGAGGTAGTTCCTATTATTCTGTTTTTTTGCATCATAATCCCTAAAGCAATGATAGTCAATGACCTTAAGTTTTACACTGAAATTTTATTACTGAAAACAATGGATTTGTATATATATGCATATATATAATATAGATAAAAATATCTGTAATTTCCTATTTTTCTCTGAACATTTTGAATGTCATAGGATAAGGAAAGGATAAAACGTTTACTTGCTTGAAGATCAATAGAAGATCAGTACTCCTTGTTTTCTTCTGTCTTGCACCTTTCTTGAAAAAAAACCTCATAGCCATGAGGATCAGTCTGAGTCCATTTTGTGTTGCTGTAACAGACCACCAAATACTGAGCAATTCATAGTGAACTGACATTCATTGGCTCACAGGTTTGGGAAGTTTAAGATCGTTGTCCAACATCTGGATAGTGTCTTCTTGCTACATCATGCCATGGTGGAAGGGTGAAAGAAGAGCCTGAGAGGAGGTGGGTGTGAACCCACTCCCTCGGTACCAGACCTGCTCCCAGAATAAGGATATTAATCTGTTCATGAGGCTGGAACTCACATGACCTAATCACCTCTTATGTACCACTTTGTAATGCTGTTACCATGGCAGTTATGTTTCAACATGAGTTTGGGTGGGGACAAACATTCAGACGCACAGCCAGGTCTCTTAGGCTAAATGGCTGTATATCCTTGATCCTTTTACATCTTTACTCATTCAGTGCTTTCACTTTGAGGCCTTTCTGCTGCCTTCTTAGGGAATCTGTGTGGGGTTGTTGGAAATAACTAAGGGATTTTTGAGACCAGCCAAGCTGATTATTAAATGTTGATTTTATCTGTGATATAGCCCATTTCTAAATATTTCGAGTATTCTGGTATACACACTGATGTTTAGGAAGAAAGAGAAAGGAAATGTCTAGGATGATGTGGTATAGAACAAGGATAGCACATCCAGTACAGTAAGGTAGTCTGTCATAGTGGCAGTGAAGAGGAAATTGTAGGAGTCTATGCAGTTCATCCTACCACCTCACTGAAATATTATGTATATTTTTGTTTAGTCCACAAATTTTTATTTTTAGCCACTGCACTTATTTGTCTCATCAAATATTTTCACTATATTGCAATGGAGAGATTTTTTTTTCACCAGTAAGTCTTCTCAAAAATATTTCAGATAGTGGCCAGCACCCTGGCTCGCTTGGTTAATCCTCCTCCTGTGGTGCTGGCATCCCATATGGGCGCTGGATTCTAGTCCAGGTTGCTCCTCTTCCAGTCCAGCTCTCTGCTGTGGCCCATGAGGGCAGTGGAGGATGGCCCAGGTGCTTGGGCACCTGCACCCGCATGGGAGACCAGGAGGAAGCACCTGGCTCCTGACTTCAGTTCGGCGTAGCTCTGGCCAAAGCAGCCATTTGGGGAGTGAACCAATGGAAGGAAGACCTTTCTCTTTCTCTCTCTCTCTCTCTCTCTCTCTCTCTCACTGTCTATAATTCTACCTGTCAAATACAAAAAAAATATTTCAGATAAAAATGGTCTGAGTGGAAAATAAATCATGCTTCTATCCTCACAGATTAATCTTCCTAAAATCATCTTTTTTATTTATAAAAGGTGAACAAATTTCATGTCTTCCATGTATACAGATTTAGGAGCATAGTAATACTTCCTACCCTAACCTCCCTCCCACCCTCCCTCCTGCTTTTCTTATTCTTTCTTCTAATTTTTGCAATGACATACTTTCAATTTATTTCATAATCACAAGATTAACCCTCCCTAAATATGGAATTCAACAAATAGTAAGAAGAAAAAAAACACTTTTCCTCAACACAAGAGACAAGGATAGTAAATAATAATCAATTCTCAAAATGGCAATTTTGCTTATATATGTTACTTTTTTTGTACTTTATTAATTACCACAGATCAGAAAAACATATGTGTGTTTTGGGACTGGCTTATTTCACTAAATATAATAATTTTCAGTTGCATCCACTTTGTTGCAACAGACAGGAGTCCATTCTTTTTTACAGCTGAATAGTATTCCATGGTGTACATATACCACATTTTCTTTAGCTAGTCATCGGTTGATGGACATCTGGATTGATTCGATATCTTAGCTTTTGTGAATTGAGCTTCAATAAACATGGAGGTGCAGATATCTCTTTCACTTCATTTGAGTAAATTCCCGGGAGTGGGATGGCTGGGTTATATCATAGATCTATTTTCAGATTTCTGAGGTCTCTCCATACTGTCTTCCACAACGGCTAGTAATTTCATGGTAACAGGTTGTAGATTTAGATCCTTGATCCATTTTGAGTTACTTTTTGTAAGGTGTAAGGTAGGGGTCTTGTTTCATACTTCTGCATGTGGAGATCCAGTTTTCCCAGCACCATTTGTTGAAGAGACTGTCCTTTCTCCAGGGATTGATTTTAGCTACTTTGCCAAAGATAAGTTAGTTGTAGATACATAAATTAATTTCTCAAGTTTCTAATCTTTTCTTTGATCCACATGTTTATTTTTGTGCTAGTACCAGTCTGTTTTGATTATAACTGCCTTGTAGTATGTTTTGAAATCTGGTATTGTGTTACATCTGGCTTTGTTTTTGTTGTTTAAGATTGCTTTAGCTATTCGGGGTCTCTTGTGTTTCCATATTAATTTTAGCATCATTTTTTCTAGATCTAAGAAGAATGTTAATATTCTGATTGGGCTCACATGAATCTTTAAAATGCTTTCTATAGTATAGACATTTTGATTATATGAATTCTTCTAGTCAATGAACATGGAAGTTTTTTTCCCATATTTTTGTGTCTTCTATTTCTTTCTTTAATATTTTATAATTTTTGTTATAGAGAATTTTAACATCCTTGGTTAAATTTATTCCAAAGTAAATTTCTTTGGAGCTATTGTGAGTGGAGCTGATCTTACAAATTCTTTCTCAGCAGTGGCATTGTCTGTGTATACAAAGGCTGTTGAGTTTTGTGTGTTGGCTTTATATCTTGTAACTTTACAAAACTCTCTTAAGTTCCAACAGTCTTACTGGAGTCTTTTGGTTCTCCTGTATGTAGAATCATGTCATCTGTAAACAGGGATAATTTGACTTCCCTTTATCCAATATTTGTCCCTTTGATTTCTTTTCCTCCCTAATGATCTGTCTAAAACTTCCAGGACTATATTGAATAGCAATGGTGAAACTGAACATCCTTGTCTGGTCCTGTATCTTAGTGGAAATGCTTTCAACTTTTCCCCATTCAATATAATGCTGGCTTGAGTTTGTCATATATTGCCTTAATTGTGTTGAGGATGTTCCTTCTGTATTTAATTTGTACTCTGATTATCAGAACTTACAAAAATTTATTTATAGGACAAAATACAGAATTATACGTTGAAGTCTTTCCCCCATGGACCCAGCTATCTTCCAGACTTCTCTGAAATATTTCTGCTACAGTTAAACAGTAACATTTTCTTTGCTTTCTTTTTTTTATTATTTTTTTATTTAGTAAATATAAATTTCCAAAGTACAGTTTATGGAGTACAATGGCTACCCCCCATAATTTCCCTCCCACTCGCACCCCTCCCATCTCCTGCTCCCTCTCCCATTCCATTCACATCAAGATTCATTTTCAATTATCTTTATATACAGAAGATCAATTTAGTATATATTAAGTAAAGATTTCATCAGTTTGCACTCATACAGAAACACAAAGTGTAAAATACTGTTTGAGTACTAGTTAGAGCATTAAATCACAATGTACAACACATTAAGGACAGATCCCACATGAGAAGTAAGTACGCAGTGACTCCTGTTGTTGACTTAACAATTTGACACTCTTGTTTATGGTGTCAGTAATCTCCCTAGGCTCTAGTTATGAGTTGCCAAGGCTATGGAAGCCTTTTGAGTTCGCCGACTTCGATCTTATTCCGACAGGGTCATAGTCATGGAAGTACTCTCCTCCCTGCAGAGAAAGGTACCTCCTTTTTTGATGCCCCGTTATTTCCACTGGGGTCTCACTCGCAGATCTTTCATTTATGTCGTCTTTTTTTTTTTTTCCAGAGTGTCTTGGCTTTCCATGCCTAAAATACTCTCATGGGCTCTTCAGCCATATCCAAATGCCTTAAGGGCTGATTCTGAGGCCAGAGTGCTATTTAGGACATCTGCCATTCTATGAATCTGCTGTGTATCCTGCTTCCCATGATGGATTGTTCTCTCCCTTGTTGATTCTGTCAGTTAGTATTAGCAGACACTAGTCTTGTTTGTGTGATCCCTTTGACACTTAGACCTATCAGTGTGATCAATTGTGAACTGAGATTGATCACTTGGACTAGTGAGATGGTATTGGTTCATGCCACCTTGATGAGATTGTATTGGAATCCCCTGGCACGTTTCTAACTCCACCATTTGGGGCAAGTCTGATTGAGCATGTCCCAAATTGTACATCTCCCTCTCTTATTCCCACTCATATTTAACAGGGGTCACTTTTCAGTTAAAATTTAAACACCTAAGAATAATTGTGTGTTAATTACAGAGTTCAACCAATAGTACTAGAACAGAACAAAAAAATACTAAAATGGATAGAGTATTGCATTGTACATCAACAGTCAGGACAAGAGCTGATCAAGTCACTGTTTCTCATAGCATCCATTTCACTTCAACAGGTTTCCCCTTTGGTGATCAGTTAGTTGTCGCTGATCAGGGAGAACATATGATATTTGTCCCTTTGGGACTGGCGTAATTCACTCAGTATAATGTTTTCCAGATTCCTCCATCTTGTTGCAAATGACCGGATTTCATTGTTTTTGACTGCTGTATAGTATTCTATAGAGTACATGTCCCATAATTTCTTTATCCAGTCTACTGTTGATGGGCGTTTGGGTTGGTTCCAGGTCTTAGCTATTGTGAATTGAGCTGCAATAAACATTAATGTGCAGACAGCTTTTTTTGTTTGCCAATTTAATTTCCTTTGGGTAAATTCCAAGGAGTGGGATGGCTGGGTTGTGTGGTTGCTGAGGTTGTGTCCACTTAAGAATCATTCTTCTGGTTATCTTCTACTTGTCAGTTTTCTAAATTCCATGGGTTCTGGAAGATAGATTGATGTTTCCATCTTTCCTGCACAGGCTGTCATTACTACCCCCTACACTGACTTGTGGCATCTCCTCAGTATCTCTACTTCATTGTTGAATGAGCTATTCTGGGAGACTGACTTCTTTGTCATTAGAAAGAGTGAAGATGAAATTGTTAAAAGCGTTCACCTATGGAATGAGATCATGGAAAGAGCATGCCATTGCTATTTCACAAAATCATTTTGGAAACTTATATTTAAGCTCTGAGTCTAGATATGGCCATAGATGACTATGAATGGCTTTTAACATGGTAAAGTAACGTCTGAGCTTCCATCAGCAACTCAGTCATTGCTGCACACATACTTATTCCATCATCTTCCCTGTAGAATTTTAGGAATGTCTTGTCTCAAGGAGTTTCAAACCTGCTTTGACAGGTTTGTGCAAACAAAATACTCTGCAGGCAAAACTTGATTAAAAGGCAGTACTTCTATATACTGTCATATGCTGGGCTAGCACTGTGGCACAGTGGGTTAAAGCCCCAGCCTTCAGAGCCAGCATCCCACATGGGTGCCAGTTCTAGTCCCGGCTGCTCCTCTTCCACTCCAGCTCTCTGCTATGGCCTGAGAAAGCAGTAGAAGATGGCCCAAGTCCTTGGGCCCCTACACCCGTGTGGGAGACCCGGAAGAAGCCCCTGGCTCCTGGCTTCAGATCAGCTCAGCTCTGGCCATTGCGGTCATTTGGGGAATGAACCATTCGAATGGAAGACCTCTCTCTCTCTGGCTCTATCTCTCTCTGTAACTCTGTCTTTCAAAGAAATAAAATAATTCTTAAAAAATTTACAAAAATAAAAAAACCTGTCATATGCAAAGCAAATGAATCAAGGCTTTCTGATTTCAGAGGTCTTTTAAGTATTACCTGCTGTTTCATCTGTTTGGATATCTTGTCAAAGTACATGGCAAGACCTTTCTAAAGTCTCTTGTGTGGCAAGAAGTTTCTGTTTGGCTGCAGACAGTGCATTATACAGTCCTTCTGAGGACATGACGAGAGGGTGGGATACGTCACCATATGCTTGGGAATCCTTCCTAGATCACTCATAGCTTTCACCATGTTTCTTTTATTGTCAGTGATTACATGATCTTCTTCTCAACTGATTGTTTCATTCTATAAATATTTCTTTAATCGGATTCATTAAGTTAGCTGTGCGACACCCAGAAATCTCTTGGTAGCCAAGAAAATCAGAAGCAGAGTTGAATTTATCATTAATCTCTGTGTCCGTTAAACTTGAAAAAAAAAAAAAAACCCAGCTTCTGGTTCTCTGTATATGTCTTGAAACTCATGTACAAAAATACATGGGAAGGTCAATTTTTTTTTTTTTTTTTTTTTTTTTTCTGATCCATGGCAGGAGCCAGGTACTTATCCTGGTCTCCCATGGGGTGCAGGGCCCAAGTACTTGAGCCATCCTCCACTGCACTCCCTGGCCACAGCAGACAGCTGGCCTGGAAGAGGGGCAACCGGGATAGAATCCGGCGCCCCAACCGGGACTAGAACCCGGTGTGCTGGCGCCGCAAGGCGGAGGAGCCTAGTGAGCCGCGGCGCCGGCCGGGAATGTCAAATTTAATGATAGGAGGGTTGTTCAAGAAGTTCATAAAAATGCATATTATGGAAAAACTGAGTGGATTTCAGTGTTTTTTTTTTTTGCACCAAAATAAACTTATCTTTTCTTCAATTTTTCCATAAACTTTTTAAAGTCCCCTCACATTGCTAGCCATTTTGTATGCTATCTCATCCACTCCTTTGAAATGTATTATTTTTTAAGTTTAATCAGTGGGGAAAAATGTATGATTTTGATAACTCATTTTTCACCAGCACTTTCTTCTTTTCTTCATATTTTGCACGCTCTTTGTTAGCTCTGGGGTAAAGTCTGATGTAAAATTTGTAGGGTTGTTATTTTAGACTGTCATCCTCTTAACTTTTAAAAAAAACTTTTAATTTTGAAATAACTATGAAGTTACTAAAAAGACAACACAGAGAGGTCCATGCCACCCTCTGTTTCCCATAATGGTCATATTGAAAACAGAGTATAATATCCAAATCAGGAATTTGGTGTTATAGTGTATGGTAGCTCTGTGTCATTTACCATATATGTAGATTCATTAGATTCATGTAAGCATCACTATTGTCAAGTTAGAGAATGTTCACTGTGATCAGTGTCTCTTTATTATACTCACTTTTCTTCCCTCCACCCACTATCCTGAACTCTGGCCACTATTAATTTTTTTCCCCATCTCCATACTTTGGTCATTTTGAGAGTGTTATGTAAATGCAGTCATACACTGTGTAACCTCAGGATTCCTCCATGCTGTTGCTTGTACCAGTAGTTTTGTTATTTTTTTTAATATTGCTGAGGAGTATTTCTTGGATGTATTACTGTTTCTTTAACCATTCACCTATTGAGGAATATTTTCACTGTTAAAAACAAATATACTACTTACAGGATGGGCATTTGGCCTGGCAGTTAAAAAATAGTTGGGACACCCACATTCCATGTTGGTGTGCCTGGGTTCAACTTCCAGTTTTGCCCTTGATTCCAGGTTTCTGCAATCATAAACCACAGGAGGCAACAGATGGTAGCTTGGGTGATTGGATCCCTGCCACCTTCATGGGAGGCCTGGATTGAGTTCCCAGAGCCTAGCTTTGACCTGGCCCAGCCTCACTCATTGTGTACATTTGGGGGCATAACCAGTAGATAGAAGCTCTCTGTCTGTTCACCTGTCTCTTTAATTTCTCCCTCTCTTAACCAAAACAAACAAACAAACAAACAAAAAAGAAGGTGCTAACATCTCTGTATGGATTTTTGTGTGCAGATACAGGTTTTTATTTCTCTGAGATAAATGCCTAGGAGGAGTGCAGTTTCTGGGTCGTGTTGAAGTTACATGTTTAAGTTTTAAAGAAATTTCCAAACTGTTTCCTGCTAGAAATGTATGAGATACCCACTTTTTTCTGTGTCATCACCAGTATTTGGTATTGTCACTATTTTTTTATTTTAATTGTTCTAATAGGCATGTGGTGATAAATATCTCATTATGGTCTTAATTTGCATTTGCATAATGCCCAGTGATGAATATCTTTTCATATATGTACTAGCCATTCATATATCCTTTTCTGTAAAATGTATCTTAATATCTTTGGTTTATTTTCTGTTGATTTTTTTTTTTTATTATTTGGGAGCTGTTTGTATGTTTTAGATTCTAGTCCTTTGTCAGATATGTAGTTTGCAATTATTTTCTCCCAGACTTTAGCTTGTTTTTATGTCCTTAACAGAGTCTTTTCTTTTTAAGATTTATATATTTTTATTTATTTAAAAGGCAGAGTTAGAGAGAAGGAGAAACAGAGAGAGAAAGAGATCTTCCATCTCCTGGTTCACTTCTTAAATGTCCACAATGGCTAGGACTGGTCCATGCTGAAACCAGGAGCTAGGAATTCCATCCGAGTCTCCCATGTGGTGGCAGGGACTCAAGTACTGGGGCCATCTTCTGCTGTTTTCCTAGGTATATTAGCAGAGAGCTGATTCGAGGTGGAGTAGCTGGGACTTGAACTGGCACTAATATGTGATGCCAGTGTCACAGGTGGTGACTTTACCTCATGGGCCACAACACTGGCCTTAACAGTCTTAACAGAAGACTTTAGTTTTGGTGAAGTTCACTTTACCATTTTTTTTTTCTTTAGTGGATCATGCTTTTGGTGTTAGTCTAAGGACTTCTATTAGGCCTAAGTCTAGAAGATTTTGTCTTTTTTTTTGGAAAAATTGTTATTGTTCTGTGCTTTATATTTAAATCTGTTATTCATGTTGAGCTAGTGTGCATGCAGTATACTAGAGTTAGGTTGATTTTCATGTTGATCTATGGGTATCCAATTGCTCTAGCACCATTTTTTGAAAAGATTTTCCTTTCCCCACTGAATTGCTTTTGTACTTTCTTGAATAATCAGCTGACTGTGCTTGTTTGTGTCTAGTTCTGCATTCTCTGTTCTGCTCCACTTACATCAATGTCAGTCCTTCTCTGATACCATATAGTGATGATTACAGTGACTATAGAATAAAGTGACATCAGGTGAAATGACTATTACAACTCTGTTTTTCACAGTGGTTTTAGCTATTTAATTTCTTTGCCTTCCATATAAATTTTATGGTACTCTTGTATATATCTACAAAAATACTGTTTGGCCAGATTTTTCATAGGGATTGCATCACACATTTATATTAGTATGAAGAGAATTGACATTTTTACTATCCTGAGTTTTCCAATCCATGAACATGAAATATTTCTCCAATTATTTAAATAATTTTTTATTTCTCTCATGTGTGGTTTGTTATGGTCAGCTTGTAAATTGTACATCTTTTTTTGTTTTGTTTTTAGACTTGTGCTTAGGGGTTTCTTTATTTTGAGTGTTTCTAAATGGTATTTTTTTTTAAATTTTGATGTTCGTGCTTTCATAATAACAATTGATTTTTGTTTTTCCTGGTGTATTCTGTTTTCTGTTACAAACTGAAATACTTGAAGCTGGGTAATTTTGTACAGAAAAGAGGTTTTTTAAGCTCACAGTTTTGGATGCTGACACTCCAAGATTGGGCAGCTCCATCTTGTTGGCTTCTGGTGAGGATTCCCTTGGCTGCATCACAATATGGCAGAGAAATGGAAATGGAACCAGTTGCATGTGGCAAGGACTGAGCACGTGGGTTGCCTTACTTTCTAGCAACCACTCATTTAAGAGTTAACTCAACTGTGAATCCAGTCGTAATCCTTCCTGAGAGCAGTGCTCTGAAGACCTAATTACCTTCCTCAAGGCCCTGTCTCTTAAAGGTTCCAGCGCCACCCAACATTGCCACACTGGGAGCAGGCTTCTAGCACACGAACCTTTGAAAAACAAACCACATCGAAGCCACAGCATCTTGTGTCTTGCATTCTTTCTGAACTCAAGAGTCCTGGTACAGCTGCATAGCGGGTATGCGTCCCATGTGGGCACTGGCTCGAGTCCTGGCTGCTTTACTTCCCATCTAGCGCTCTGTTATGGCCTGGGAAAGCAGTAGAAGATGGCCCAAGTCCTTGAGCCCCTGCACCCATGTGGGAGACCTGGAAGAAGCTCCTGACTCCTGGCTTAGGATCGCTGCAGCTCTGGCCGTTGTGGCCATCTGGGGAGTGAACCCTCGGACGGAAGATCTCTCTCTCTCTCTCTCTCTCTACCTCTTCCTCTCTGTAACTCTGCCTTTCAAATAAATAAATATTTTTAAAAAAAAAAGAGTCCTGGGGGCACATTTTTTAATTCCTGTGGAATTTTCTGTATAGTCCAAAATGTCTTAGGAACATGTGAACAGACTTACTTCTTTCATATTTGTATACGTTTTGTCTCCTTTTATTGCCCTACTTCGCTGAATAGAACTTACAGCATTATGTTGAATAGGAATGGTAACAGCATAAATCCATTCCTTGTTTCCAGACTTATGGGAAAAACATTCAGTCATACATCACTAAACATATGTTAGCTGTAGAGCTTTTGCATAGATGCTATTGACTGATAAAGTTGAAGAAGTCCTCTTATTAGCAGGTGTTTTTAGGATCAAAGTGATAATCCTTATTTCGTCTCTAAGATTCATAATTCGTGTCTTTCTTTTTTCTTTGTTACTCTTTCTAGTGGTTTGTCTATTTTATCTTTTCAAAACATTGGCTCTTTGGTTCACTGATTTTTAGCTAGAGATGTTTAGAAAAGTTTCATCGATTTTGATTGTTAGTCTCTTACTTCCTTTTTCCCAAATTTTGATGCTTGTCTCTAATATCTGTCCTCTTATTTTCCCCTCATCTTCTAATTTTTTCCTTCCTTATTTTGTCTACTTTTGGACAGTTCACTATTTTTCTCAATGTCTTTTTCCTTTACTAATTTGGAGATGTTATATTTCAGTTCCCTTGATTACCCTAGAAGTTTTTGATCTTCATTTTTAACTTATGAACAGCTGACATTGAGTCAGTGTCTATTATCATCCTAAATAATACAAGAACCTTCTAATACTTTGTCTGTGATGATAGCTCTCCCAACATAAATACTATTGTAATGATGTAATTTGGTGTTACTTATTAAAAAATGATTCTATGTCATATTATTGCTACTGTGTTTAATTCCCCAGGTTTGTTGTAGTTCCCACATATATTGATTACTGTCTGTGCTATTTATTCCCTTGCTTTTAAGGCTTTCCATGCAGGAGCAGGCTGAGAATTCTTGGTTAAAGTGCCCTCAAATTAAGGGAT